GGGAGGACAGAGGAATTTTTTGGGAGGACAGAGCCGTTTTTGGGGAGGACAGAGGCCTTTTTCCAGAGGGAAGAGGGGTTTTTGGGGAGAAAAAGGGGGTTTTGGGGAGGAAAGAGGGAGTTTGGGGAGGAAAAAGGGGTTTTGGGGAAGTATAGAGATGGTTTTGGGGAGGACAGAGCCGTTTTTGGGGAGGACAGAGGGAATTTTGGGGAGGACAGAGGGAATTTTTGGGAGGACAGAGGGAATTTTGGGGAGGACAGAGCCGTTTTTGGGGAGGACAGAGGGAATTTTGGGGAGGACATTTGGGAGGACAGAGGGAATTTTGGGGAGGACAGAGCCGTTTTTGGGAGGACAGAGGAATTTTTTGGGAGGACAGAGCCGTTTTTGGGAGGACAGAGGGAATTTTGGGGAGGACAGAGCCGTTTTTGGGAGGACAGAGGGAATTTTGGGGAGGACAGAGCCGTTTTTGGGAGGACAGAGCCGTTTTTGGGAGGGCCTCACCTGCGCTGGGTCAGGACGTGCCGCAGGATCCGCGTGAAGCGGTCGGAGACCCCGGAGGAGCTGTGGGGAGGAAGTGGAGAGAAAATGGGTGAGAAAAGGGAGGAAACGGGAAAAAAGGGATGGGGAAAAAGAGGAAAATGGGAAAGGAAAATGGGGTGAAAAAGGGGGATTTGGGGAGGGGAAGGGAAGAGAGAAAAGGCAGAGAAAAAAGGGGGAGAATAAGGGGAAAACACTAAAAAAGGGGGCAAGGATTAAAGGAAGGGGAGGAAAGGTTAAACAGAAAGGGAAAAAGGTGAAAGAAACAGGGGGAAAAGCTCAAAAAAAAGGGAAAAAAAGGCACCTGCTGATCTCCTCAGCCCCCATGTGGAGGAGGAGGTCGGTGGAGGTGAGGCCGAAGACGACGCCGTCGATGTCCAGGGTGCAGGGCTCGGGCACCAGGAGCACGCGCTGGACACACGGACACGGGGCTGGGCACCCCCAAAGCCACCCCAGAACGCCCCAAAGCCACCCCAGAACGCCCCAAACCTCCTCAAATGTCTCAAACCCACCTTGAAATGCCCCAAATCCACCCTGGAATGCCCCAAACCCACCTTGGAACGCCCCAAATCTGCTCTGGAACGCCCCAAATTGGCCCTAAATCACCCCAAAACTCCCCCAGTCCCACCAAGTTTTGTTTAAGCCCCCAAAACGTTCCCCAAAATCCCGAGCTGGATTTTCTGCAGGAACATCAGATTTGTTCCCAAGGGGTAAAGAATGATTAAATGAAGGAATCTGAACCCAAAAAGGGCTGGGAGGGGAGTTGGGAGCTCTGGAATTCCAATCCCAAATCCTTTGTCCCCCCTGGAAGCCGTGGGAAAAAAAAAAAAAAAAAAAAAAAAAGGGGGGATTTCAGCCCAAATCCCAGCTGGGGTTTGCCAGGAGGGCTGGGAATTCATTTTTTGGGGGGAAAAAGCAGAATTTTGGGGCCGGTACCGCTCTGTCCTCCTTGGGCACGTCCGGGAGGGGGAAGGGAGGCTGCGGGTACACGAAGTCGTGGGAGACGTCCCGGAGAGAGGGCACCAGCACCAGCTGGCAGCCAGCACTGGGGAAAAAGAGGGAAAAACGGGGTTGGGGGGGAGAAAGGAGAGAGTTTTGGGGCAAAAAGTGGCGTTTTTGGGGAAAAAAAAACCCCCGTGGGAATGGGGAATTTGGGGGGTTTTCCTCCCCACCTCCGGGTGCCCTCGATGACGGTCCGGAGGCAGAGGCGGAACACGTCGGAGAAGGGGCTCAGCAGCTGGCAGCTCTGGATTGGGGGAAAAAACCACAGGATTGGCACAATTCCCGTGGATTTGGGGGTCCGGGGGTGCCCCAAATCCGCAGGGATTGAGGGGATTTGGGGGGGGGTCCCTCCTCACCTCCACCTGCTCGTGCTTGGCGTCCAGGAAGGGCCCGAGCTGTGGAGAAAGGAGGGAAATGTTGAAAAGCAGCAGAGAATCATTTTAAATCACTCCCCACAAAAAGAGAATTTTTAATCATTCTCATCAGTGAACCCCGATTTTAACCCACACCCCCAAAATTTCAGGGCAAAATGAGAGCAAAACAGGGAAATGGCTGAAATTGATGAGTTGTGCCCAGGCAGGGAATCAGGATTTGACTCCAAGGCAGCATTTGCTGTTAAAATTGAGCTTTTCTGTCACTTTGGGGTGAGAAATGGGGATTTTGGGGATTGCTGGGTGAAAAATGAGAGGTTTTGGGCACTCTTAAGTGAAAAATGGCTGTTTTGGGGTTCAGAAATGGGATTTTAATGTGAATTTTGAAGGGTTTGGAGCCTCCCCAGCGTTTTGAGGCTGCGGGGTTGGGGTGAGGATTAATAATGAGTGAGGTAATTAATATGGATGGTTAATGAGGGGTTAATTGGGGTCTCCTCACCAGGATACAAACGTCGGGGCAGTCGCGGGCCACGACGTCCAGGAGGTCACTGAGGGGCTCGAAGGCGACGCTGTCCGAGGGGGTGAAGGGGCCACAGGCCACCAGCACCATCCTCTGCTCTGGGGAAAGGAGTTTTGGGGGAAAATCGGGGTTTTTTGGGGAAAAAAGGGGGTTTGGGGGAAAAGGGGGAAGTTTAGGGATGGAGAATGGGGGGGTTTGGGGGATGGAAATGGGAATTTGGGGAGGAAAAAAGGGGGAATGGGGAGAAAAAGTGGCTTGGGGGTAATAAAAAAGGGATTTAGGGACAAAAAGGGAGATTTGGGACCCCAAAAGGGGGGTTGGGGGGATGGAAATGGGAATTTGGGGAGGAAAAAAGGGGGAATGGGGAGAAAAAGTGGCTTGGGGGTAATAAAAAAGGGATTTAGGGACAAAAAGGGAGATTTGGGATCCCAAAATGCAAATGTCCCAAATTCCAGCCCAAATGCCCCAACTCCAGCCCAAATGCCCCAACTCCACCCCAAATCCCCGGGAGCGGGGTCACCTCGTAGAGCTTGGTCACCACCATCCTTCCACCCGTGCTGTTGGTGCCTTCCAGTGCCACCACCTGTGGGACACCAGGATTGGGGGAAAACGGTGGGAAATTGGGAAAAAAGCGTGGGAATCAAGGAAAAGGATTGGGAACTGGGGGGGGGAAATGGGGCAGGAATGGGGAAAAAGGGGAGGAATGGAGGGGAAAGGAGCAGGGATCGGGAAAAAGGAGCAGGGATTGGGGGGAAAAGGAATTGGGGAAAAGGGGCCGGGAGGGGAGGGGAGTCCCCCCAAAGCCGCACCTGTCCCGGGAACAGGGAATATTCTGGAAGCTCCGAGAGGTCCAGAGGGACCTGGGCCCCCCCCGAGTGCTCCCTGTCCCCCAGCAGCAGCACGGAGCGCGCGTTGAGCTTCCCGTTGCCGTCACAGCCGATCTGCCCCAGCACCGTCACCGGCTCCTGCGGGCCCGGCACGGCGGGGGTTAACCCGGAACGGGGTGGGGGGGTTAACCAAAATGGGGGGGTTCACCCCAAAACGGGGGGGGTTAACCTGAAACGGGGGGGGGTTAACACAAAATGGGGGGGTTCACCCCAGAATGGGGGGGCTAACACGAAATGGGGGGGATTCACCCCAAAACGGGGGGGGTAACCCAAAATGGGGGGGTTAACACAAAATGGGGAGATTAACGCAAAATGGGGGGATTCACCCCAAAACAGGGGTGTTTAACTTAAAATAGGGGGATTCACCCCAAAACAGGGGGGGGGTTAACACAAAATGGGGGCATTCACCCCAGAATGGGGGGGTTAAAACAAAATGGGGGGGATTCACCACAAAACGGGGGGGGTAACCCAAAATGGGGGGGTTAACACAAAATGGGGAGATTTGACCCCAAAACAGGGATGTTTAACTCAAAATGGGGGGGATTCACCACAAAACGGGGGGGGTAACCCAAAATGGGGGGGTTAACACAAAATGGGGAGATTTGACCCCAAAACAGGGATGTTTAACTCAAAATGGGGGGGATTCACCACAAAACGGGGGGGGTAACCCAAAATGGGGGGGTTAACACAAAATGGGGAGATTTGACCCCAAAACAGGGATGTTTAACTCAAAATGGGGGGGATTCACCACAAAACGGGGGGGGTAACCCAAAATGGGGGGGTTAACACAAAATGGGGAGATTTGACCCCAAAACAGGGATGTTTAACTCAAAATGGGGGGGATTCACCACAAAACAGGGGGGGTAACCCAAAAAGAGGGGGTTAACACAAAATGGGGGGGGGTTCACACCAAAACAGGGGGGTTTAACCCAAAATGGGGGAAGGTTAACACAAAATGGGGAGATTTGACCCCAAAACAGGGATGTTTAACTCAAAATGGGGGGATTCACCCCAAAACGGGGGGGTTAACCCAAAATGGGGGGGATTCACCCCAAGATGGGGGGGCTTTAACCCAAAATGGGGAGGGGGGAGTTTAACTCAAAATGGGAGGATTCAACCCAAAATGGGAAGGATTCCCCCCAAAACAGAGGGGTTTGCCCCAAAATGGGAAGGATTCAACCCAAAATGTGGGGGTTTAACCCAAAATGGGGGGGTTAACACAAAATGGGGGATTTGACCCAAAATAAGGGGGGTTTAACCCCAAAATGGGGGAGATTCACCCCAAAACAGAGGGGTTTAACCCAAAATGGGAAGGGTTTAACCCAAAATGGGGGGTTTCACCCCAAAAAGGGGGCTGGGGTCTCACCTGGGCCGGGAGCACAGCGGAGCTGAAGGCGTCCAGGCCGTGGTGCCTCCGCAGAACCTCCCCGAGCTCCTCCACGCGCTCGGCCAGCGCTGGGAGGGGACCCCGGTGTCACCTGGGGCCAGCTGCCACCCCTGACCCCGGTGTCCCCAAACACCCCTGACCCCAAACACCCCTGACCCCAAACACCCCTGACCCCAAACACCCCTGACCCCAAACACCCCTGACCCCAAACACCCCTGACCCCAAACACCCCTGACCCCAAACACCCCTGACCCCAAACACCCCTGACCCCAAACACCCCTGACCCCAAACACCCCTGACCCCAAACACCCCTGACCCCAAACACCCCTGACCCCAAACACCCCTGACCCCAAACACCCCTGACCCCAAACACCCCTGACCCCAAACACCCCTGACCCCAAACACCCCTGACCCCAAACACCCCTGACCCCAAACACCCCTGACCCCAAACACCCCTGACCCCAAACACCCCTGACCCCAAACACCCCTGACCCCAAACACCCCTGACCCCAAACACCCCTGACCCCAAACACCCCTGACCCCAAACACCCCTGACCCCAAACACCCCTGACCCCAAACACCCCTGACCCCAAACACCCCTGACCCCAAACACCCCTGACCCCAAACACCCCTGACCCCAAACACCCCTGACCCCAAACACCCCTGACCCCAAACACCCCTGACCCCAAACACCCCTGACCCCAAACACCCCTGACCCCAAACACCCCTGACCCCAAACACCCCTGACCCCAAACACCCCTGACCCCAAACACCCCTGACCCCAAACACCCCTGACCCCAAACACCCCTGACCCCAAACACCCCTGACCCCAAACACCCCTGACCCCAAACACCCCTGACCCCAAACACCCCTGACCCCAAACACCCCTGACCCCAAACACCCCTGACCCCAAACACCCCTGACCCCAAACACCCCTGACCCCAAACACCCCTGACCCCAAACACCCCTGACCCCAAACACCCCTGACCCCAAACACCCCTGACCCCAAACACCCCTGACCCCAAACACCCCTGACCCCAAACACCCCTGACCCCAATCCCTGACCCCTCCTGAGCTCAGGGTGACCCCGGTGTCACCAAACACCCCTGACCCCAAACACCCCCGACCCCTCCCGAGCTGGGGGTGACCCCGGTGTCCCCAAACACCCTCCTGGCCCCCCAAACCCAGGGTGTCCGTCCCCACCTTCCCGCACGTCCAGCGCCTTCTGGAACATGAATTTGTAGGGTTTGCTGAGGCTCTGCTCGGGGCAGCCGAACATTCTGACGGCGCAGCCGCCGCGGCCGCTCCAGGCCGGGCCCTGCACGGAGCCAAACGAGGCCACGACCTCACCCCGGCCCCCCCGGGACGAGTATTTCTGGGAGGGGGTGACACTGTGGGGACAAGAAAACCTGGAGTTGTCCCACCTTGGAACTCCGAGGATTTTGGGTTTTCTTCCTTTCTGGTACCCCAGTTCTGAGCACAAAGATAAACGGAGCTCGGAGGGATGGATTCCCTGATGTGTGAGCAGGGTGTTTTAACAGGGTTTAGTGGTTTGGGTTGATTAATGAGGCTTTAAAAATGACAAATGTTCGTCATTTAAAGGATTTGTAATTCAAGGAGTTCTGTGGGGTTTTACCAACCTCTCCAAATTTACACACTCTAAAAGGCTCCAATCCAACTTCCATAATGGTGTGATTTTAATAAAAAGGAAGGAAAAGGGGTGATTCAGGGGAGCCCCCCAGGAGCCCTCACCCACCTTGGGGAGAAGCTGCCGGGGGAGAAGAGCCCGTAGGGGCTACGGGACGACGGCGCCCGCTTGGGCCGGGGCGTCTCTGGCGTGGAATTGCTGCGTTTCTGGGAGCCCTGCGGGGAACAGGCTCGGAAAAAGGATCTTTCCAGGCTGGTTTCAAGGCAAACCCCGCGGATTTGGGGTGATGCCCACCTTGGATGGGGTGGTGTAGGCGTCCAGCAGCTCGTCCTCCTGTTCCTCGTCGAGGCTGGTGCTCGTCAAGGGGCAAAAACGCTCCTGGTTTGGGGTGAATCCCCCCCGGGAGCCCCAAATCCAATAATTCCTCCCATTCCCAGACCCCACGGGGGATCTGCGACAGCTCACAGCCCCCCACTTTCTGCCAGACCCCCAAAACTGCCCGGGATCTCCTCGGAATGTTGGGATCTCCTCGGGATGTGGGGATACAGCTCCTGCAGCGAGTGGATGTCGTGGAGGAGCCCCCGGCGCTCGTCCCGCCCGCGCCGGCCGCGGCCGCCGCGCTTGGCCAGCACCTGGGGCAGCGGGGCGAGCGCGGGGGGAGCGCTCGCCGCCGTCCCGGGGGGGCTTGGGGCAATCAAAGGGGGCAGTCGGGGACCCCCACCTCGTGCTCGAAGGCGTCCAGGCCCTCGGCGCTCAGCCGCAGGTCCAGGTCTTTGCTGGTGACGAAGGCCAGCAGCTCGTTGGCCAAGGCCACCGGGCCCAGCCCGTGGCTCAGGCACAGCTCCACCACTGCGGGGACAAGGGGGGGGTCCCAAATCCCACCGAGACCCCTCCCCAAATCTTTGGGTACCCCCCCAGTCACCTCCTCAATCCTCTCTGCTCCCCAAAACCCAGCACCTCCCAAAATCCAGGTCCCCACAGCGCGCCCCCTGAACCAAATAACCCCTCACAGCTCCCCTGACACCCCCAAAGGCCTCCCCAGTACCGCTGACACCCCCAAAGCTCCTCTGACACCCCCAGCCCCCCGATATCCCTCACAGCTCCCCTGACACCCCCAAAGGCCTCCCCAGTACCGCTGACACCCCCAAAGCTCCTCTGACACCCCCAGCCCCCCGATATCCCTCACAGCTCCCCTGACACCCCCAAAGGCCTCCCCAGTACCGCTGACACCCCCAAAGCTCCTCTGACACCCCCAGCACCCCGATATCCCTCACAGCTCCCCTGACACCCCCAAAGGCCTCCCCAGTACCGCTGACACCCCCAAAGCTCCTCTGACACCCCCAGCCACAGC